TATATCTGCCTCAGTAGATTGCATTCTGTTTGAGAGGAAAAGATTGAAACCACCTGTGACGCCCAGAAGAGACCTGGTAAAATACTGTTTCTGGGAGGGATTAGTATTTGAATCAGTAGATGGAGTAAAGATCACCCTCACCCCTGCTGGTGGGTAGTCATGCAATCCATTAAGGGCCTGAATAGAAGGAAAAAAAAAAAAGCAGAGGACGGGTGGATTTACTCATTTTGCTTGGGTTGAGACATCCATCTACTCCTACACTCTGACGTAGATGCTCCTCGTTCTCATGTTTGCAGAAGGCAGATCATGGGACTTCTAGGCCTCCATAGTCACACAAGCCAATTCCTATAATAAAGCTCCTCTTATCTACTTCTCTGTCTAAAATATATCCTATTGGTTCTGTTTCTCTGGAGAATCCTAATGCATCATCCTATTAGCTGTCACATTCTACACAGGCAGCTGAGACCCCACGCAGCTACTATGCAGGGCAGGGCAGTCTGACTGATGAGGGACAGAAGCCCAGAGTTCAGGAATTCCTGACTTTGGACTCAGCTGTTTCCTTTCCTAATAATAAGCCACATGTAGACTTCCATATGCAGGTAGTCTTTCTCTGTAATGAAAGATGTTGCAGGAATTAAAATGTGTTAATATACGTGAAGCTCTTAGAACAGTGCTTGGCATGATAGGCACTTAATAAATGTTAACTGTTAACTATTACTTTACCTACCTAGGATGCTTCCCCATTTTATTTCCATAAAAGTACTCTTATAGAATGTGAAAAATGCATTTTTTTCTTGTCCTCTTTGCAATGAACTTCTTTCAAAAGATAGAAACATTATCCCACCCCCCCCCACCCACATTCTTGAATCTGGGCTCACCTTGTGGCTTGTTTTGGTCAATAGATTGTGGTGGAGGTGACACTGTGTCAGTCTGAGCCTAATTCTCAAAAGGCTTCGTGGACTTTTGCTTTCTCTTGAATCCCTTCCCTTTGCCATGGGAGCAGGCACCAACCAGCCTATTGGAGGAAAGACACCATGTGTAGGATTGCTGAGCCACCTTGGCTGGGAGTCTGCCAACCTAGCAGCTAAGCTGCTGGTGCTGAGCTGATATGGAACTGATTATTGACGCACGGGGAAGCCCAGCCAGCCAAACCCACAAGAGCTGCCTGTCTGAGCCCAGCCTAAATTGGCGAGCTTCAGAATTAAGAACTAAATAAACGAGTCTTGTTTTCAGCCAAGATTTGGGGTAGTACTCCTTCTCCAATCAATGTCTATCTTAACACTCTTCTAGACTCCTTCCATATTTGTCAAATCTCATGCAACGTTTTACCATCTATTTCAACTAGTATCTCTTCTAAGATTTTTCTAATTTCTTTGGGTATCATGTTATCCATCTGTAATTGAACTGCCTTTTTGATATCTGTGTGCAGTTTGTAGTTCTCTTCCTAGCTTGCATTGTAGTAGAACTGTTAGTGTGTGACTCTTCATGGTTTCCCTACAGCTAACAATGATGCTTGGTAGACATGAGGCTGTGATCCAAGCCTGGCCACTCATGCCGTTTTTTCCCATAGTGTTTCCCTCAGAAGATAAGCACCAGAGCCAAGCAGGGCCATTCAAAGGCTACCTGTACAAAATCGACTCTGAGAAAGTCTAATTTTCTTCTTAGATTAAGAGCTATAAGGATATATGTCTGGGGCTGCAAGGACTAGGAGAGGAACAGACAAGTGAGAGAAACTGACAAGCAAGGAGACGAAGGACCACAAACCAAAAGAGGAGACAAAGTTGAGCTGACAGAGAGAGGTAAGAAGAGGCGAGAATTCTATCAACATTGAGACCCTGGGTCTGGCCTGATTAAGCAGTAGTGAATTCTCTTTTTTACTCAAGTTCTATTGAGTCTTGTTTTGGTGACTTGCAGCAATATGGAATCCATCCAATCATCCTGTGAACTGAAGAAGGTTAATAGAAACCATCATCCTAGAACTTTATCATTTCCAGGTAATGTGTTATCTAAATTGGGCACTTCTGAGAGTTAAAGGGGGTACTGTTTAGTAATTATTCTGAGAAAACAGGTGTTAGATGAGAGTGTCCATGGGTTTCCTAGAAAAAACAAATGAGCCTGGATCTGCAAAGCTGAGGACCGGAAGCTGGAAAGTTCTGTTACAAAAAATTCAGATACAGACCCTCTGTGGGTCTCCTTCTGCAGAAGCCAGTCAGGCCTTCACACTTGTAGCCTTTTTAGATACAAAATGCAGTTAATGTACAAAAGCCCACAGGAAGCAAGATTTATTGGACAGGTAGCAATTAAACTCTTTGAAATTATGTTGTATTCACATGGGATATTTCTTAAAGTTCTGTTTGTGATCATTCTAACTTACAGAATGAAAAAACAGTACAGGTCTTAGTCTATGTGTGGAGAATTTCCTTTAGGATATTGTGTTTTTTGCCCTTGGGGCCGGGGGGTGCTAAATTAATATCATGTTGAACGTATTTGTTATATAAATGTCATGCTCAGGTAAAACTTTGTGTTGGCAACACAAAAGAACACAATGTGTGACTAAGGCTAGTTAAATGTTTTGGCTTCAATTAACTCTTTTTTTTTCTATATAAGCTAAAGCAGTGGAGACAATAATAATTAGTTCGCAATCTCCCATTCCTCATGCAGTGGCTTAGGGGGTGGTGGGGGAAGACTAATTAAGAGTGGGTAGTTTGTGTTCTGTGGGAGAGCAGCAATAGACAGGACCACCACACAGGACTGTTGTCAGTTGAAAGTAATATTATGGTGCCCGTCTTGTTTGTCTGACTACTGGCTTGAAACCCAACTTTACCCTTCATCGTTTTTCCCATGGAATAAGCAACCAAATATGTGGGGATAAATCAGCAGTGATAAGTCAGTCTATGTGTGTAGAGGAGGTGGTGGTGGTGGTGGTGGTGGTGGTCTTCTAAAATGTTTATATCAACCTTCACATTCATCCTGAGAATAAAAATCAGATCAGAAAAACATAGGAAGTAAGTGATAAGGATTACCACTTTTACCTTTATGTTCTTTTTTTTTAAATCAAAATAATAATTAAGGCTTTTTTTCTTTTCAAAAGCATCTGGTATTCAGTTCTCATTTCAGATGAACTTCGTGGGTGAGCTACCGAGAACTGAGATAGACCCCAAAATAATCCAGAAGCCATTCTGTGAAGTTGACAAGTGAAAGGTAATTCCTTTTATGAAATATTAAGCACCCACTCCATATGTAAGTACTAACTGCAGGGGAAATTAAAGTGGTAAAGACACAAAAGGGTATATCATAAGACAAGCTAAGAAAAAAGCTAAGAAGATGAATAAAGATCACAATGGGATTTGATGATGGAGTTGATAACTAACATCAACCTGGAAAAATCAGAAGGAGCTTCTTGGAAGAAAGGACCATCTGAAATGGGCCTAAAAAGTTGAGGATTTTTTTCAGGGGAAGGAAAGAGGCATTTCAGAAATAATCAAAAGCTCAGGGGGAGAAAAGTTTAGGATAGTTTCCAGGACTAGGTAGTGGTCAACTTGGATGACAAGATAGAACAAGTTTAAAAAAGCAGCGCTGTACAGTCACGAAATACACGTTTCCAGCCAAACTTGTTCCTAACGTTAGCCTGTTAGTCCACACACTATGTTAGCCCTGCACATTCTCACACACGCACACACCCCATCCCAAACAAATACTTTGGAACTGGTGGGTCATAATCGACACTTTCTTGTATCTTCAACACAAACACTGCTAGTCTTTGTATTCAATTTCATCCTGAAGAAAAACTTGCGATATTTCTCCATGTCATGGAACCCTGTAGCTTCTATTTCACAGTCCACGTACTGGAGTTCAGCATCATCACATTTCATGTTCTACATTTTGCCCTTGTGGATAGGAGGGCACTATAATGTTCTTCTGCAACATCATGTCAGTGTTTTGGTTCAGAGACTCTTGACTAGAAATTTTTTTTTTTTTTGATGGGAGACCCTTTGGAGGATTTTGAGCAAACTCATAGCTTCAGGGGGAGTTATCAAGCATCAATATATAGGAAAAAATATATATGTGGAGGAATGGTAATTAGGAAAAGTTAAAAGTTCACAAAAGTCCTAGTAAAAATTACTGAGGTTCTTTTCAAAGGTAGCAACAGCAAGAACAGGTAAGAGAATATAGTTTCAAGAGACTTTGTCAAAGTAAAATCTAAAGAATCTAAGAATTGATGTGAATGGCAAGTGAGAGATATGACTACATTTGAATAGAGAATGGTAATACCATCAGTAGAAATAAAGGGAAGCAGAGAAAAGCAAAGTTTGATTTTGGACAAAAGGCATATGAACTTATTCACTGGTGTATTCTGTGTAAAGCTAAGCTTTCCAAAATGTTAATTATTTGAAGCAATTAATTAGTCTGTCGTAGGAAAGAATGATGACATAATAAAAAGTTTTCTTAAGAAGACTCCTTTCTTCCACCAATATGAACCAGCATTTATGGTGTACCACGTGCTACACTATAGCTGGGAGGGCAGGAGACAAAAAAAATTTTAATAATGAGTATGATTTCTCTTTGTTAGTGAATGAGATGAAAACCATGAGTTTACTGTTCCCACAGGCGTGGACACTGGTCTACCTGATTGTGGTAATCATGTGAGACCAATCTCAATTTTCGCCGTTCATATTGTTTGTTTGTTTGTTTTATTGTTGTTGTTGGGGGGAGGTAATTAGGTTTAATTATTTATTTTTTAAATGGAGGTACTGGGGATTGAATCCAGGACCTTGTGCATGCTAAGCACACACTCTACCACTGAACTATGCCCTCCATACCCCCAACACCCCCATATTGGTTTTAGAACCTAACCCCTCAATAGCATGTGTGGTCTAGAATGGAGAAACACAAGGAACTTCACATCCAAATATTCAGGTGCCTTCAGCATCTGGAAGTTTCTCTATCTTCATGCTTTAAAAGAACTTAAAGTCATTTGATAATGAAGACAATACTTCCAGTCTAGTATCTGATACTTTTACTTCCCAGCAGCATAATACCACTTTGGTCAGCTTGAACCACTGCACAATTTTGCAGCTCTTTCAGAAAAATAACGAAAACAAGTAGACAAGATCACATGCAATGGTGAGAAAAATAGTACTATCGCCCAATCTTTCCCCATAAATGTGAAATACCCTTGATTCATCTCCACACTGTGTATTTATTATAAGCCCTTACAGCAAGGGATTTTGTTTCTTTCCATTTTTTTTTGTAGCACCAAATAGACACAGTGGCTAACAACAAATAATTCTGAAAAGTCAATGCAATATTTATCACGTCAGAAATTTTCTAGATCTGTACTTTTTTATCCATGTCCCTGGCCTGAAATAGTCTTCATGAGATTAAGCTGTAACGTAAGATTGAGATCTCACTCTGTTTCTGCCACTGATGTGGATTGTTGATCATAATTTACTAGTATCTTTTTGTATTCTACTTTACAATAACAAAGTACTTTTACATACAGTGACACTTATTTTTCTGACATGTATTTTAATGTAATGGTGTCCCCCAAGCCACTGATGATGCTTATACACATGAGCTCTTGTGTTATACTGTGGGGGTTCAAACGCCAGTTCCATGTGCTAACTCTGTGACCTTGGAGAGGTCACATAGCTGTGCTTGTTTTCTTGTCTATAAAACAGGACCTACTGAACAGAGTTGTTGAAGGGATTCAGTGAGATAGTCTATGAATGGACTGAGCACAGTCGAACCTCCTAAGAGCTAAGTGAGTATTAGTTATGGATAAACTGTCACTGGGGTGTAACTATGGTGTATGGATAAATGGAGCAGCATTCTTGAGTAGGGTATTTAGAAATGCAGCCTCGAGTAGATATGCACAGGGAGTCTTCTATGATTTCCACAAGGTCGGGGATTTTATTTCTTCTATCAGCTGTGAAGAAGGACACAATGGACAGTCAACTCCAGTTACCACTAGAGTAAATGTTGAGGCGTTCCTCACGGCAGACTCCCTGGGGGCACTATGTCTGTCTTGTTTGCCATTCTGTTTCCAGAACCTAGCATGTACCAGGTGCACAGTAAATACCTGTTAGATGAATAAACACATGGACAAATCTTAATAGCTTTGTGATTAGGTACATTCTAGGAAGCAAATAAGAAAGAAGTGATCTTTTGGAAGCAGGAGAGGATTTAGAGATGGTGTCTCCAATTATGATGAACTTAGAAGTTAGCTAATAAACATTGAAGGGGATGTTAGTAATATGCATGATGATGTGAATTTTCTTTTTTTTAAAGATGAAAACGTAATAGTTCACAAAATTTATAAATGGAGTTCTGTGTTTGGGTCATCCTCGCATGTAACTCAAGGGGCTTTCATAAATAACTAGAAAGGCTGAGTTTTATTCACTGTAAAAACTCCAAATCCCCAAACATTATTCCTTATCTAACTGTCCTCAAACCCTTGTTAGTAGCCCTTGAAGCAATTGGTTCTAAATTCAAATGTCTAAAAAGTATTTATGAAGAGTCAATTCTAGTTCTAACTATATAACTCAGAAATTATAGTGCCAATCAGTATAAGTTGCTGACATTTTTCAGATTATCAGAAGACAAACTTCATTTACTTGTCTATCCACCTATTTAATTGTTCATTCATTCAACAAATATTGAGTGCCTATATTGTGCGGGGCATTATCCCAGATGCCAGGGATATAGCAGTCCACAAGGCAGGTTCAGCCCTTTCTCATGGATTTTGACCTAGAGAGGGATGAGATGGATAGGAGTACCCCATGTTTGGGGAGATTTTGCCTTATGTTGGCCTCCCTGAATCTTTAGACCATTGAGTTTTACCTCACAATGTTGTTAAAGCTGGTCTTACTAACAAGCTGTGTCTGTGTGATAAACACAAACTAGCCCAAAGATGAGAAGTTCAGGCATTATCCACACATCCACAAATATCTACGGAGGTTAAAAATAATGCAGGTAAAGTATCCCAGTGTCTCAGAGTCCTGCAGGCACAGCCGAGTGAAATGAACTGAGATCAGATCACTTTGATTTTGCCATGGTTGAAAACTGCATTTGTAATTTGGTGTAATCCATCTCTAACCAAGTTCTTTAGAGACAGCCTTGAATTCTTAAAAAGCTCCTGAATGATAGATTTTTGCATTTAGATCTCAGCATTGTCTTAAAAGATAGTGGTAGCTCACATAACTAGAGAATTCCCTATTGATTACATGATTGAGGAAGCACAAAATCTGTTATTCTTTCCAAAGTCAATTGTAATTTAAGCTCATTATTTCCCTGTGGATGTTCTACTTCAAATGGCAACAGAATCAAAATGTAAATGCCTCAATGAAGAGGTTGGGGTATTCTTTTACTGAACTATGCTCTGTATATTTGCCTTCAAAATCAGAGCAGGAGAGCGTTTGGAAAAATCTGGGCACTAACCCGGCCAAGGGAAAGAACTAAAATTTACCAGGGTCACTGATGAATAAATAGTAACGCTTTTTCCCCTAGCTTTTAATATCTCATTTGTTTATAGCATTAAAGATTGAGCTTCATGTAGGAGCAAACTGATACATCTTTAATGTGATTTTGGACATGTTAGTGGCTCTAATATGATCATTAATAATAAAAAGCATTAATACAAGTTCTGGTAATTTTTTTCTTCTTCCCTCTGGCTTCAGTGAACCTTTAGAGAACCACATGGGTCCTCTCTAAGTCTTAGGAATGGCTACTTTTGATTAAAACTTCAGGAGAAGGCTTACATTTCAATAACTACATTTTAATGAACAAAACTGGCCATTCAACTGGTCATTTGTATGAAGGGCCAGCGTGACGTGTAATCTGTCCTTAGATGCCTTAGGTGTGATGGACTGCCCCTTCACTTGGACAAACAACTGGGCACACATTTATTATCACTTAACATTATGCAGATGAAGCACAAAATACAGACATCCAGAAAACACAAATGTATGGTATCTGCGCATCTGATAGTTGCTTCTTTAAAACCATGACAATATTTATATTGACGTGAAAACATATAATTTAGTATTAAGCAACCACTTAATGGCTAAATGAAAATATACCTTAAGCTTCAAATTTATACAATGTTTTGAGATGTGTTGAAAAGACCATTATCTCATTACAAGGGTGCCATGATCTCCCTTTATGAGAATCTGTGGCATAGCCTGAATAGCTTTAATATTTTTCTGTTACATGATAACTAAAATATATGTTTTATTAAATTTTTCTTATAAAAATGAGAACTACCTCTTCGAAACTGAATAATACTCACATATTGTCCACTCATTCCTTTTAGTCATGCTTATCTCTTTTGTAAACCTATTTTTACATAACATTCAGAGCCCTCTCCCACAAGTTCTCATGAGTAAAACATGGTATGTATTCGAGGATGGGAGTCTGTTACCACAGCAGGGCACTGCTGGGATTGGCGCACCTCCTTGGCTCCTTGCTGTTCGTCCTACGCTGGGTGAGGGGCTGTGAATACTAGGCAGAACCTGGTATGGACAGTAATACCGCCTGACAGGGCAAAAGGAAATGCGCGGGGTCGCTTATTGTATTCCCAAGAAAACAAGTCCTAAACTGAGCTTCATAAATTGCTAATTTGGGGACCCATCTGAAATGGGAAGTTTATTGTATCTTGGGGAACCAATTTCTCGCTTTGAGAAGAGGGATTGTTCAAATATTTGCCTCAGTTTTAATGATCTATCTAGAATGTTTCAACTGGACATTTATTCTTTTTTTCAGGTACACTTGTGTGGTTAAGGTATTTAAGTGCCCAAATAATTATTACTTCCTGTTAATTCCATAAAGTAAAATCAGATTTATGCTCCTAGATTAACCGTAAGTCAAAAGTTATAAACAGTATCAGCAACTCTAACAGATAATTTTCCAGGAAATGATACTCTTCTGAAAGATGATGTCTCATTGTCTATTTACCTATGTGAAATATGTGTAATGAAGTAGGTATAGTTTTACCCTAGAAGCAGCGGCATCTCTTCATTCACAATATTAATATCACTGGTTTCCGTATGCCTAATTTTAAGAGGGATAGTATTTTTGATCTTAGATTGACAAAAATATCCAGTGTATATTTGGGAAAACTGACCTAAACTTTGAATGACATATATTTGTATATATATATATATATATATGCACATATGTAATTTAGTTTTGTAAAGCCCTCAGCTTTAAAATATCAAATAGACTTCTATGACAGCACATCAGTGTAGGTAAAAAGAGTTTAGAATTCTCTAGAGTTTATCAATCAAAAATATAAAACTCAACTAAAAATATCGAGAGCAGGGTTATATATAAATATCATGAGGATGAATTCATGAAGCTAGGTCCTTTCATTGTATTCCCTTTCCAGATTCCTAACACTTGGTAAAAAAAGACCTAAGTTTGTTACCAAACTCTGATAATATACATTTCGTGGAATAAATAAAGATTACATTCTGTTAGAATTAATAAGAATAGATATGAGTAAGACTTAAATAAAAAAAAAAAAACAACAAACAGTACCAGAGTTCTCTATCCTTGCTTCTAACCAACTAAAAGTTGAGCTGAAATTGCCCCACTCTGTTCATGCATAATAAAATTCATGGAAACAGAAAATAAAAAGCCAACTGCTTCTGGAACCTGAAGAGAGTATAAATATAGTGTAACAACTTGCCGTTTTCAAGAGGGGAACAGAGGTTGAATTTGCAATTAACTCAAATTCTAATTCAGACAACTCAGCAATATGGATGTGGAACAGGTCAGGGTGAGGGGCAGTGTGTAGGTTTCTTTTAAGTGGCGACAACCTTGAACTGATGCAGTTTGAACTATTGCCTAATGAGGGATCTGTTAATCTCTGTAAAAGCTATAGACCCAAGATTCATTTAACCCTGGCCCTGGTGATTTATGTGAAAGTCATGGACTTTATTCTTCTTATACTGTTTCAGTCTGCAGACTGGAAAACCTCTCCCTTTACACACTGAGAATTCCCACTGCAGCGAATGGAAGGTCTGTGTGCGTAAAGAGCTCGTGAACGGTGGGGGGTTCAGCCCCAGAGAAAGAAGGTGTCGAGCTGCCTTGGCAAAGAATTTATACAACACATGTTCACAGTTTCTTGACAGGTATAATTATCAGTGTTGTCTTTTCCTTTACTATGTGCTGGGATTCTGAAGCACGGTTTCAAATTTGTGACTATTGGATGTTTGATCAAGTAGCTTTTCTTCAAGGACCTGGAAGGCGGAGAAGAGCGAAGAGAAATCGGTGATTAGTATTCATTTGTCAACTACAATGTGCTAAAAATATCAAAGGAGCATGTGCTATGTGAGAACAGGTTTATTTTGGGCTTTATCATTCATGCAGTCTTCCACACGTGAAAAAATTGTTCGATGTTTGCAAAGGAAGTAATTATCAAATGAGGATGGGAAAGACACAGTTATTCCCTAAAATTAAATTAAAAAACACCAGTTTGGAAACATTTTAAATGTAAGACATTTCTTCCTCCCAATTCCAGATGACTCTGTTTTTCTTCGTGGAGTCAAAGGAGAGAAAACCTTTACAGTATGACTCTTCGGATGACTGGTAGCGCTCTTGTTGAGGTACATGTAAGCAAAGCCTCTCTTTGATAGGCTGGAAGCACCAATATCCCTTCCGTGAAGCAGATGGTAGGCTCATTTCCTCTCCCATGAGGTCAGCCTGACATGGAGCAGAACAGAGTAGGCAGCTGCCCTGTACGGTCAGATTTGGGGGAGCAGTCTCCCCAAACACTCCCCCAGACCTGTCACTCTTCCACCATTATAGAGTCATTTCTTTCAGAAAGAACAGCTTTCACTCTTTGTTTTTAAAGCTGCAGATGTTTTTATTTCAATGAATGCCGAGCACCATATACAAAAACATTTTATTTAACAAATTGTTCTGGCTGGCATGAAAGTGGGGGGAGGGGAATAGGTTTGCAATCTACCGCCTCTGCATCCACACTCCCCAGTCGCCAAGCCTTCTGAAGATTTGCCTAAAAGCACCTTGGGCCTGCAGAGTGGAGCTGAAAGTCATACATGAAGTCACTGTCCTTCTTCAGGGGTCACCTGACAGGATACCACATAGAAGTATCACCTGTCGTTACTACTCTGCTACGCTGCTGTTACTATTGAGTGTTCACTAATTGCCACATATTTGGTTAAGAGTTTTACATACTCTTTCTTATTGAATCTCCATAACAGATCATCTGACTGAGTCGTATATTGAATAACTTCCTTCAAGTCCGTTAGCTACCAAGTGATTGAATTTTAATAAATTAATGCACCATATAGTTACATGGGAATGGGACTCAGAGCAGGTGAATTTCAGAAAGAGTCTCGAATCTCTTCATCCATCCAGAGGAGGAGTAGGCCTGCGGGATACGCCAGCAGCTGACAGCACCAGGCATCCAAAGCGTGCGGGATTGAAATACCCACTGGGAAGAAGCACTGGCTCCAAATGTTCTCATTGTCCCCCTCATTCCCATGATTTATAATTCAACAGATTAATAATTCTTTTTTTCCACATTAGTTTAAATTTGTTGATCAAATTGCTTTGCTAATTTCTAAATGAGTCATTGTGGTAGACAAGTAATGCTCCCCTCCCACAATATGTCCTCATTCTAATCCCTGGAAACTGTGACTATGTTAGATTCCATGGTAAAGGGAAATTAAGGTTGTAGATGGAATTAAGGTTGCTAAACAGCTGATATGGAGAGGATCCTGGACTGTCCAGGTGGGTCCAATGTAATTAAAAGTGGAAGAAGGAGAAAGAAGCAGTCAGGGAAGGAGATGTGATGATGGAAGCAGAGATCAGAGCAGTGCACTGTGAGGGCTTGACCACCATTGCTGGTTTTGAGGATGGAGAATGGAACCAGGAGGCAAGGAATGCAGGCGGTCCCTAGAAACTGAAAAAGGCAAAGAAATGAGTCTTTCCTAGAGCCTTCGAAAGCCTAGTGAGACTGTCTTGGACTTCGGTCCTACAATAAAACAAGAAAATTAATTTGAATTCTTCTAAGCCGCTACAATTGTAATTTTTTAGAGCAGCAGTGGGAGAGCTGCGATGATGAAATATTCTGAAGCATGGGGTGCTGGGAGGTCCATGGTAAGGGTTAGCATCAACTCTAAGCAGAGACTGAATTCCTGGAAAGCTCATCTGAACGTATCTACAAGGAAGGACGGTTAAGGGAAAGACGCTTTGAAGCCCACACCTCTGGGTTTGTATCATGGCACTATCACTTGCTAGCTATGAAGTGAGTAGACTTTAAAAAATCCTACATAACTCAGTTTCCTTCTTAAAAATGAGATTAAAAACAGTACCTAATACTCATAGGATTATTGTAACGATTAAGAAATTTAATGTATATGAAGCACTTAGAAGAGTTCCTGGCACATCCTAATTGCTCAATAAATTTTATCCAGTATTATGATTATTATTTCTGGTTCAGTTTTCTGCTTGATACTCTGGAGTTCCTTGAATTCAGTTTTATCAGAGTCATCCTTCAGGAGCTCTCAGTAAATGGGCTGGCAGGTTCCCTGGTTCAGGTCATTAGGCCCCTGGTTGTGGCAGTGTTAGTGAAAGGTACAGAGCAGTGAGTAATGGACAAAATAAGGGAAATGAGGGCCTGAAGAGGAGAAAAAAGAAAGTCAGTGAGGCTACCGGCAAAGGACAGCTGCTTCCATAAACCCGCTGAGATCCAGCCTGTATTTGAATGTAAATGAATTCTTCACCCTGGATCCACCAATAGGAGGTCAGAGAAATTAAACAAACTTTAAGTTTCAACTTCTTCAGATTGCTGACATCTCAAAACACATCCCTCTTCCTTCTTTCTTTTATTCTTTGGGAATCTGAGTGAAATATGGATTTATATAAAGTCATACTTTAAAAAATGAGATGCTTATAGGGTGGGGGCTTATTTGGGCAAATTAGGTGAAGAGGATTAAGAGATACAAACTTCCAGTTATAAAATAAATAAGTCAAGGGGGATGTAATGTACAGCATAGGGAAGAGAGTCAATAATGCTGTAAGAACTTTGTATAGTGACAGGTGGTAACTAGACTTGTGACGATCAGTTTATAATGTATGTAAGTGTCGAATCACTATGTTGTATGCTTGAAACTAATACTCTAAATCAACTATACTTCTTAAAAAAAAAAAACAGAAAGAAATCCTTAAAGCCGAATAAACGTAACACTTTCAAAAACAGTGGCTATAGCATTAAAAAAAACCCTATATTCATATCCTCTGCTTAGGTTTCTGTAATATAATATATAGTGATCATATTTACTACTTTTTAGAAAATGTAATCTATTCTTCCTGATTAATAAGCATGGAAGTTAGGGGAAAAGACAACTGAGATTTACTTCAGAAGAGTTTAAAGGAGTAGGCCTAAGATGCATTCTCCACACGTTACTTGCATTCAACCTATTTTCCATCTGTATGTGCAACTGACCATTGCGCATTACTTCTCAGATACAAAATACTACCCTCTCAGATACAAAATATTATTTCTAATTTAGAGAACAGACATTATATTTCATGTGATAAACAATAAGACAATATCTGACAAGTATTTTTGCGTTACCTAGTCTTTGCTTGACATGTCAAACTTAAAAAAAAAAATCAGAGATCTGTTTAAAGTAAATAGCTTCAGATTTTTTCCCAGTCAAGATGGCGGAGCGGTAGGACCGAGAGCTCCCCTCTCCTCGCAACTACAACAAAACCACAACTGACTGCTAACAACCACTGGAAAAATAAGACTGGAACCCAGCAAAACATATTTTCTTCAGCTTGGACATGAAGAAGGAACTACAGTGGGACAGTAGGAGGAGCGTGCTCACCATATAATTGGGCCTCATACCCCCCACAAACTGAAGAATTAAGTCGCAGAGGCCCTCCCACAGGAGTGAGAGTTCTGAGCCCCACGGCAGGCTCCCCAGCCTGGGGTTCTGACGTTGGGAGGAGGAGGAACCCCCAGGCCATCTGGTTTTGAAAGCCAGTGGGGCTTAACTCCAGGAGCCCCAAGGGACTGGGGGGAACAAACACTTCACTTTCTAGGGAATCATACATAGAATCTCGCGTGCACCAGGTCCAAGGGCAGAGGCAGTGTTTGCATAGGAACTTGGGCCAGGCCGGCCTGCTGGTTTTGGAAGGTCTCCTGGGAAGGTAGGGGGCAGCTGCAGCTCACCCAGGGGACATAAAAACTGGTGGCGGACATTCCGGGAGTGTTCATCTACATGAGCTTCCCTGGAGGCTGACATCTTGATTGGATCGTTAGCACCCAGACCCAGCCCCACCCAACAGCCTATAGGCTTAAGGCTGGGAAGCCTCAGGCCAAATAACATACTGGGTGGAAACACGGCCCCACCCATCAGCAGACCTCCCAAGCCACAAATGCCTCTAGACATGGCCCTACCCACCCGAGGTCCAGAACCAAGCTTCACCCAGCAGTGGGCAGGCACCAACTCCTCCTGCCAGGAAACCTTCATAAGCCTCTAGCCCAGCCTCATCCACCAGGGGGCAGGTACCAGAAAGAAGAAAACAACAATCCTAAAGCCTATGGAAGGAATCCATAAACACAAGCCAGACTCTACACTGGGACCAGCTGGACCCTGGCCCTTGGGGGACAAGAGAGGAGTGTACTGCTGGGACGCATAGGACATCTCCCACAGAGGGCCACCTCTCCAAGGTCAAGAAACGTAACTAACCTACCTAAAAATACAAATAGAAAGATAGACAATTTGAGGTGGCAGAGGAATATCTTCCAGGCCAAGGCACAAGATAAAATCCCAGAAGAAGAAATAAGTGATGAGGAGATAGGCAATTTATCCAAGAAAGAGTTTAGAGTAATGATGGC